TTAATTATGGCAATATATTTTTTATTTGGATAGTTCCCAAAAAAGTTTTTTATTAGAAATTATATTTTTAAAGTAAATCAAAAAATTTTAAAAATTTATAATTAAAAAAAATTAAAATATCCCAATTAAAGATATCAAATAAGTTTTTATTTGATAAAGAGAATTATAGCAATGTTAAATGAAGTAGTTTTTGATCAGTCAATGTAGTTGTTTGTTAGATATTTAGATTAAACACATATTGTTTTTTAACCACTTTTTATTAAAATAACATCAATTAATTTTGACATAATAAATATTGAATGGCTATTTTATAACCAACAAAATATATTTAAACATGGATTTTGCTTTACTAGTTAGATTTTTAATTGCTTTATTAATTAATTAAGATTCAATAAATTTATTTTTTCTATTTTTAATTCTATTCCAATGATGATTATTTAAATCTTTTTGTTTATATTTGAACATGAAACTATTATTGAAAATAGTATACTTTCGTTTTTGGTTTATCGTGATTATCATTTTATGTTCAAAGTGTTGGATTATATAAATATAATTCAAATTAACAAACTTGGTGATTGTAATTTTTTGCGACAAAAAACTTTTATCGCATTATTTTATTATTAAAATAATGATAACAAAATTAATAACTTTATTATTATTTTTCTCTCTCTAAAAAATTGTAGAATCAAATCTTTTGTTTATTTTGAACAAAAACAAAAAGCATGGACATTTTAATCAATTCAATTATAAACGAGTCGCATATGTATTGGTCATTTTATGCTATTTTTATTATTTTAATTTCAAAATCAACATGTAATTGTTTTCCTTTTAGTTAATAATGTTTCAATGAATTATAATTTATTAAATATTGTTAAAAATAGGTTAAACTTAATCATAAAAAGTATTTTTATTACAAATGATAAACTTAATGATTATTAACATTTTCAAACTTTTTGAATAATAAGAGTCAAATTGTAAATATTTTTAAGTGCCCAATTGTTTTAATTGTTGTCAAATCATTTGTATTTCATAAACATTTTTCAAACAATGTTTTTAAAGAATAATACTAAAATTATTTTTTGTATTTAAGTTGTAATTCTATTTGAATCTATTATAGAAACTATACACATATTTTCGAAATTTCAAATAAAAAAAATTTTAAAAAAATTTTAAACATTTATATTGTTCCAAATAATAAAAAAAAACAAAAGTTTACAAATCAAATCTATTCCATCCGATATGCCTAAATAACAAAAAAAATGATTGTTATTTTGTCCAAAATTGTTTTCGATGACCCGATAATTGTTTGTCGTGTTGTTTTGTACTAGAAGAATATAAGTTGGTTGGTTTTGGGATATGATGTAATTGTAAAAAAATAATGTGTAAAATTTTATCCAAATATATAATCAAATGAAATTGAAATTAACTAAAGAAGATACAACGAAAAATCACGTTCTTTTGGCTATTAATTACCTATAATTCAGTTATTGTTTTATTTTATCATAATATAACAATATTTTTTGTTTTTTTATTTCAAAAGTAAAATTAATATTTTTGTTGCCTTTTATTGGTTTAAAACAATTTATAAGTTTTTATAATTGATAAAACAACATAATTTTAGTTTCAAAATAATAAATATTTATTAAAATATAATATTTATTGTTTCAAAACAATACCAGATATTTAATTTATAAATAATTTAAATGATGTTTTATAAATGTTTTTGATTAACTATAACAATAATTATTTTAACTAATAAATTATTGTTTGATTGATAATATTTCTAATTTTTTATTTTAATAATAAATAATTTATTTAAAATAAGATTGTAGCATTTTTTCATTATAAATAAAATATATTTGTTAATACAATTTTTTAAAAATTAAATATAATAAGTGCGACTTTTTGAATTAAACTTTAAAGACAAATATTTTAAACTGAAATTTTAAGCATGTCAGTAATCAATTATTTCAAGTGTACAAATAATGAATTTTCCGAGTTTAAAGAAAACCGTTTTGAAATTAATTTAAAAACATTGAAAACATCCAACAAAGTTCATATTTGGTGTTGATTCTTAAATTACAATCATTTAAATTATTAATTGTATTTAAATTTTTATTTATTTCTAAAGATAGTATGAAATGAATAATAATACCTTAATTGTTTTATTAAACATGAATATTATTTTTAAATAAGATTGATTTTTAATTATTTGTAATTATTTCGATTGTTTTGTTTGATAATTCACATTTGATTCAATAAGATTTGACATAATGACCAAGAGTGGTACAACGGTCATTTTTGTTGTTAAATGAGGTACATAACAATTCATTACTTAAACTTATACATTAGTAAATTATGTTACAACATCTTTTTTGATACAGACTTAAATGAAATTTATTAATGTTTTAAGTTGTGTTGTTGTTCACCGAAAAACTGACACATCATTTAATAAAATTGTGAGTGTTTATTTAAATGATGTAATTATATCATTTAAAATAAAATTGATCAATTGAAAAGAATATATGGCGAAGATCCACAATAGAAATATCATTTCTTGTTTTATCCTTAAAACTAAAAACTAATTACATTATATTTTTCGAAGATGGTTCAATAGCATTATTATCACATAGTTACAAATAGAATGAATTTAAATTGAAACCAACTCAATTTTAAACCTAATTCGACTTTACGATAAAATTTTTTGTTTACAATCAAATATAAATAAGAAAAAATACCTAAATTTTTATCAAATGTGGTTGCAAATAACAGTTTATATGTTATCACAAACGATTATTCATCAATTTCTTATAATATTGATCTTTTGGAAATTAAGATAAGTACAATTCCCGTTTAATTGTATATCATATTTTCATTTGAACAAAATCCAAATTAATGAAAAAAATAAAAAATTGTTAATTGAAAATAATTACATTTATGAAAAATAACTTACGAAAAATTATTAGCAATTTTCGGGGTTAAATTAAAGTGTTTTAATATTTTTTGTTTAAAAATGCACTTATAATTTTCTATGGATTAATTGAAACATAAAAAATGTAACTTTGATAGATTTAAACAAACCAAAAAATTTGTTACACAAAACCAATGTTATTTAATTTACTTAATAAAATATAAAATCAGTCAAAATCAAAAGTGAAACACTCCAAATTCACACCGAGCCAATTAACAGTACATTTAATATAAAATTACACTGCCTGCATTTCCACTTCTTTCTGCACCCACTTTCTTTCTTTGTTGAGCGCCTTTTTGCCCATTTTATTTTCAAAAAGTTCTCTAGCAACGTCGTAGTCATTTGGATTGAGCAATATTTTAAAAGAAGAATTCACCAACAATGGCAAGACAGACATAAATACCATTGCGAATACTGATAAGTAAAAATGTGGCTGTTGGAACAAAACGACAAGACCATACCATGAAAAGTTCATCATAGACAAATTTGGGTAGAATGAGAGAACAATGAACACAAGAAGTGTTAAAACAACACTGATAACATGACCAAACACTAAAACGTAGTTCCATGTCTTTGTTTGTAATGCCATTGTAATTAAAATGGTCAAAATGATACCCAAAGTGAATAACCCTGATGTGTATGGTATACCACCATTTAACCCAAACATTGTTACATCGCATGTAAACGTTGTGATGTAATAAAAGAAGAAGAAGACTAGCGATTGATATATGCCAAATACAAACCAATTTACAAACGACATGAATGCTGACCGTTTTGAAAGTAACATTTCGCGATTGAGTTGTGGCACTTTTTTGATAATTTTCCACTCGACGTCTTTGTCAAAAACAGCGGACAACAGTGGGGGGATTGCTGTGAAAAACGTGTTGTAGAGCGCGACCATGTAATCGTCATATATCGTCTCACAACTGAAGTTGTTTAAAAACGCAAGATAGAACAAGACAAAGAACATTGCGATGTTCTTGTAAAAGCACAATTTAATGAGTAACGAATTCCGATACAAACACTCTCTTCCATGAAACAAAACAAGCTTTCCAATATCCTTAAACCGTCGAATAGCAAAATCAGAAGCTCTTGCGGCTTGTGTGCCTTCTTTCCCAAATATACCAATCCCAACATTGCCCGTGTTAATCATCGGAACATCATTCGCGCCATCTCCAATTGTTATTACAATTTCTTTAGTTATTTTCTGCACAGTTTTTGCAATGAGTGCCTTTTGAAGTGGGGTGACTCGGCAGCATATCAGGCTGTCACTTAACTTAATGACTTCACTCAATTCATTGAAATGAAGGTTTTCTGCTGTTTCAAAGAGTTTCCCTTCAATAACAACTGTTCCACTCCCACCATTTTCACCTTTTTGATTCTGCAGATTGCTCTGAAGTTTCCGTTTTATTTGCTCCAAAGTCTCACACAAATTTTCAATTTCTTTGACACAAAAAATATCGCTCTGAATGAGTCCACAAGAGTTCCCAATGTTGAGTGCAGTTTCTAGACGATCTCCAGTGATTACCCAGACTTTAAGACCACCTCTCTTTAACATTTCAATGGTTTCTTTAACACCTTCTTGTAATTTGTCTTCGATTTTCGACGCTCCCAAAATTGTCAAATCACTTTCAATCTCTTTTTCAAGTTCGACCTTTCGTGCTTCGGTCTTTAAATCGTCTTCAAAATTGTGAATCACATTTTCATACTTCGCAAACCACTCGCCAAAATACGTCTCTGTTATTTCTCGTTTAGCAAATAAAAGAGTTCTAAATCCTTCTTTTGAAAAGTCCTCGATATTCCTCTCGTCTTCAAAATTGTCGCGTGAATCACGAGCAAGTGAAAAAATGACTTCATCGGCACCTTTCATCCACAACGTGACACCCCCATATTTATCTCTCAGTAACACACTCATTCGCTTTCGATAACTCGAAAAGGGTATCACACAAAGGACTTTGTACTCCTCTCTTTTGTTTTCAAGTTTCACTGCAATTTTATTATCACTTCTGAATATCAGTTCTACGTGATTCATTTTTGCCCCAATACACAAACACTCCTCGTCGGGACAATTCGAGCAAAACTCATTGTTCTTAACTTCGACGGAATTACACAACGACATACAAAGTAACAACTCACGCTTTTGTGTATTCTCGATTTCACATTCCGAATTTTTTAAATCAGACTCTTCGAATGACTTCCCATGAATACTCGCACCTTTGAACACCATGCAATTCTCTGTTAATGTCCCAGTCTTGTCAGACAAAACATACTTGGCTAGCCCCAACTCGTCATTCAAAATTGTCGAATTTGCTCTTGCTCCAACCTTTTTAATTTTTTCATTCATATCGCCATCTTTGTTGCATTCAATTTTCAATATGTCCATTTTCAAATCGTTATCAATTTCGATAAAAATCCCCTGCAAAAATTTGACAGTTTCAAGTGTGACTTGGCATGATATTGGAATCATGTTGTTCATCAACGTAAAGAAACCAAAAAACTTCTTAACTCCAAAAAACACCGGAGAGATATCTTCTTTGCTGAGGTACCAAAACCCGTTCTTTAGATCGTTATATTGTTTGAAGTCAAGTGCGGAGAATACAGCAAGTAAAAGACATACAACCGTTTGGAATACTATCATAAAAAGGACAAATTGGTTAAATCGGGAATTCGTCGTGGACTTCTTTAGACGAGGTTTTGTTTGGTTTAATGACAGTTTAGTGTCGCTTCCACAATAACACACAACTCCCATGACGCTGTCTGTGTTCTTCAAAACGGTACCTTGAAGAAGTAAGTTCTTCGAGCTTAATGATATCTTGTTTTTATCTTCTTCAAAGTACGCTTTAAAAGACTCAAATGAGGGTGTTGGGCGTTCTGTGTGTAATGTAATTTCAATGTTGGAGATATCGTCCAACTCTCTATTTTGAAAGTGTGATGGGACTAACACAGATTTGAAATCAGTTTCTCCGTCAAGTGCTGTTGTTTGAACGTATACTATTCCATTCTCATTCGTCGACACAAGTGGAACAATATCTGCTGGGATGATTTGGTTGCAGTCAATTTTCAGAATTTGTCCGCTTGTTATTTGACTCCACTTCACTTTTGTGTCAAAGCTTTTGGTTTCTTCGTTATACATATAGTACTTTGTTGAGTTAAATCGGTAGTCTGCAACGTGTCTCCTCTCTTAGTTAATGTGTTGTTGCTAAATAGCTAAATAGTGAAATAGCAATTTATTTAACTATTTACTAAATAGTTAAATAAATTATTTAAGTTTCTTTATAGTAATATTCTAGTTAAAATAATTATAATTGTAAATCTGATATATTCTATATTAATAATAAATTTTAATAATAAAATTATAATTTAACAAGTTAAGCAATCAGA